GGCCATGTTGGGCCCCCAAAATGTGCAGAGATCACCAACTGAGGGCTGAACATAGTCAATCAAGCCAGTGGTAAAGAAAATTGAAATAAAAAAGAGGATTGGACTGCCCCACCAGAGGATTCAGCAGCACCTAGATCGAGTCCCAAGGGCCTGCAAAATGGAATAAAATGGAAAATTGCAAACACAGCTGTGTTTCTGATGATTGACTCCCTAGTTTACAAGGAACAACACGGCTTCGACCATTTCTTTTTCTTCAATCCTCTTTTGCTATGTTTGTTCCAAGAAGCCACCTGCTGGTGAGCATGTGAGACATGTGCAACGGACAGCCAAGGTCCCGTTCCTCATCGTCCCTCCCCCCACTGCTAGAGCTCGTGTAGTGGCGGCATGTGTATAATTTTGTGATTTTGTGTACATCCATTTGATGCACATGGGGAACGTTCTAAAACCCAAGATATTTTTATTACCGCGGTGACAGACGCTTATATGGAAGTGTGTTTTATTGCAGTTGCGAAAGGCCGCGGCGAAAGGTTTGGCAAAAGGTCTAAATATGCCTATTTAAGACTACATGCCTTGGCAGTTACGCTTGCATTCATGAAACCGTTTTGGAAATATGGAAACCACTGAACAGGAATTTGGGAGCCTCTCCCAGACAGGAATGAGTTTTATATGGTTTGGGCATTGTGAAACACCTGCCCAGCAATATCACACACAAGCCATGCTCTCGTGAAACATGAGTTTCCAAAAACATTTCTGTATAGGCGAGAAATCTGCGAAAGTTTTCCCAGAAGGTTGGCGAAAGGCGGGTCTGCAAGGATCCCACCCTGTCCCAAAATCTACATAGTTTGTCTTGCAATGTTGCAGCTTCAAAAAACATTTCAAAGTCGTTTCAAATTAAATTGCGCTTCCGTTGTCGGGCAACCTGTAAAACGACTTAGTCGAATGCTTCCGCTTCCCCATTATCATTACAAGTGATGTTTCCTTATTTGCAAGCCCCATGTAAACCCTGGGTACAAGACATGCACTCCAATCCACGATAATACTTCCCTGTCCCTTTTCTGGTTGGGCGCGACCGGGCGCGAAAAGTGCGCGAAAGCGCAACGAAAGGGCAGTTTTTGGAATCCATCATTTCGAACAACCCCTGCACACATCCACCTACACTTCCTCATGATGGGTTCGTGACGGGTTCGTGTGCTTGACCCACAACTCATCACACCTTCCACCCTTAGCGCCAGCTAAGCTCTGATACCCATCAGCTTCGCGTATGGTGCGCCAGAAATTTTAGCCGTCTTAGCCGCCAGGTTGCAACCACTTCTGTCACCTGCTTTCATCTTGTTTGCCACAACAAAGCTGCAACGAAGCACAAGAAGAACATGGGAAAGCTGCGCAAGCCAACCACCAAGTGCTCAGCTTTATTTCAGTCATCTACTCAGCTAAACGAAGGCGCTGATCCCTTTGCCGACCGCGCTGATTTGCCTGGTGAAGGCTTACAGTCCGAAACAAAGATTGGTGTTTGGATGTGATTGCTTCCTCGGCCTTCAAGGTTACAGTGCGTGTTCACAGATAACATTCTCTGCTGTAGCAGTATTGTAAGGTGATTCAAGTGGTGAATCAGCTTTGGCATTCAAATACTGTATACCAAGGACTGATAGGGACACCCTGCAATTAAGTTGCAGACTAATTTTACACACAGACCCCGAGGTTTGCCCAAGCCCAGAATAGCGTAAATACCAGGAAATTCTGTACGACGTCAAGCAACGGGAAGGGTTTTTTGTTCAATTATGTTGCTCGGGTGTTAACCAGAACATGGTGCTTCTACATATATAACCAGAACGCGTCCCTTCTACATATCATATGGAATATATACATGAATTACATATGTCATTTCATACCTTGGCGGCACTGGTGCGGCCCAAAGCATACATACCCAAGATGGCAATCAAGAAAGGGCTACAAGCAGGTAGGAGTTTTATCCCAACCACGAAGGCAGCTAGCCGCCAAACTGTGTATATATATATATTTTTGAGTCTTCGACTTGGAACAGGCGCCCACTTACATGATGACTTAGGATGAAGATGCCCTGTTTTCTGATAGCTCATTCCTATGTCATCATACGTTACGACAAAACAAAGGCTTCGCAAAATGGACTCTGGATACGTAGGGTACCCCGGGGCAGTCCCACGGTACTGAGATTCATTGCGCAACCTTCTTTGCTCCTGTGGTGCAGGTGAGGGTGCCTCGCGAGACGAGGCCTCAGAGGGCTCGCTTATTGCGTTTGTCCCTAAACGCGAACTGCAAATCCCAAAAAGCAATCAGGGCAGATGCTATTGGGTGTTTCTTGGTCACATTGCAAAGTCGTCAAGAAGCGCAAGGAGAGTGGACAAGCGACAGAACCCCGAGGGGCCAGTTCAGTTTTCCCCCTTTTGAACGTCCTGCTAAGTCGCGCCCTCACACTGACAGGAGGGTCAGGCCGGCCAGGTCCAGAGTGCCCAGGCCCCAAATTGGTCTAGCTTCATCTAGTCTCTAAAGACATGCAGGACGGATTTGGTCAACCGCTGAAGCTGTACAAGATTTGAAAGCAAGCGGTGGCACGGTCAGCATAGGGTGTTGGATTCATTGGCTTTTGTCTTTTTGGTTCTATGTCTGGCTATGCGCAGCATGTCATTCCAAGCATGTGCAAACCATTCAATGACGACTTGGAACTTCTATGGCGTTGCAGGGCTACATGCAAGAGCTAGGCCAGGGCACGCCACTGCACCTGCCTGAGTTCAGGTAGTTCTAGAAATGGAATGCTCCGTTCTTGCGCAGAACAGATTGCACAATGTGCAGAAACGAACATGTTCGATGGAAGGATGTATTTGAGCACAAGGCAGCAATGAAAGAAACATACATTCAAAAGAAAAGGGGCAGTTATAATCTATAGAATTCTCAATCTTATTGTATCTTATTCTTATTGCATTATTCACAATCGCGCTTCAAACCAGCACATCATGTCAATCCATGCCATATGGGTTCATGATGAATTGAGGAGGCAAGACCGGATGCTAGAACGACCACGGGGTCCAGGTCCAGGAGGTCCAGGAGGTCCAGGTGCCAAAAGTAGGAGATCTTTGGGGTGACTTCTTGTCACATCTTGTCACTATCATGTCGTAGGTCCACAGCAGTTCTCCCTTTCCCATTTTGGAATGTGTGCGTGTGTGCTGTGAAGGTGAACAGAATTGTGGTTCAGCTGATTGGCAGGGTAGGGGTAGTAGCATGAAACGGAAGAGATGTAATACACCAGGCGGAGCAGATGGTGGCTGTAGACAGCAGCAAGGCAGGGGGGTCTATGTTTAGCGATGTTTTTGCTACGTGTGTCAGAGTTTGTTTCGGTCCCTTTTCACTCTTTCCTTTTTGAACAAACGCAGGTTGACCAACGTTGGTCTTCAGACCCGAAGCAACTTTAGTCTCAGATTTCATCCATGGATCATTTTCTTGCTCAGCATGGTGGAACCGGCGGGGTAAACATATTAAACATGTTAGACATATTTAGACATATTTAGACATATTTAGACATATTTAGACATATTTAGACATATTTAGACATAATATATATATATATTATATCATTATATCAAGTATATATGTACATGTCATTTGATATCACACTTCACTATGTATATATAGAATTATAGATATAATATGTATGCCTTGGTATTTAAATGTAGGAAAATGACAAATGCGTTCCGCATAAAGATATTTAGCCGATGGAGGGTATCATGCCTACATACATTACATTACATTCCATTACATTACATTAAGGTACATTACATTACATGACACGACATGACACTGAATGACATTGCACTACATTCTTGGGTGTTAGACACAAATCCTAATGGGCCAAGCACATTTGACATACTGGAGAAGGGGGGGGACGAAAACCAATCCACAATTCAAAGCAAGAGTCACATGCCATCGCTCGCAACCAACCCTGATCAAGGGCTGCATTTCTTTCTTGCATCCTTCCAGAATAATAACGGCATTTTCCTCACTGCCTTCTGGTTGCGAGTTAAAGGAGAACTCAGCAAAAGCAAATTCTCCCTCCTAGAGCACATCTCTGTTAAACAAGCAAGGCGCAACGACTGCAGGATTTCTGAGGCGCAAAGCCTGCACTAAAAACCGCCTAGACCCCAGTACCTACGGTTTTCTTGCATCTGCAAACGGAAAGTTACAATGTTCTTGGCAGCCCCATTACACAAAACATATTTCCTCTGCTTTATGCATCCGCCTTCAAAGGGCAATATAATTTACACCGGCTGCCGTCTTTTCAACTTTCTTCAAATACCTAGTATGCTTGCAGAAACACAGCCGAACACAGACTTACAACCGCCACAAGAAGCAAACCTTGACTTAAAACGCCAATGTTTGCACCTTCGCGCTCCCTGACCCACAGCCAAGAACACGACCCCCGGACCCTTGCAATTTTCCCATTCCCCCGCTAGGCCGGTAGAACCTTTCCACTTTGTAAGCCGCCAGAACATCGGAACTACTAAGGGTCTAAAGTACCCAGAATTTATGGGTTCCCGTCACGGGGTCTAAAGAGGTCAAATAGCAGGTGCGTATGTTGTTATCATGTGGCAAATAGCAGGTGCACATTTTTGTGTGTTTTTTTGGGCCAATGTTTGGCATGTTTTTTGGATTGGATCAAAATCTTGGAAAAACACGCTGAAAAAATGCAGATCCTTCATGAACAACAAAACCCTGCTCAGCGGTGACCATGCAGGTTCACTGCTGTTGACATGGAAAATGCCAATTCAATTATGTTAAATTGTAGGCAGTTGGCGTAGCCAAACGAACTATTTATTTTCTTGAAGCTTCCTCGTTTTGCATGTCATGGAAAACAAGCTTGCATTCATTCGAACGTCATTTGAGAAACCTGTTCAGTCACCTGCAGTTCCTGTCAAGGGAGTGGAGGGTGGGTCACCGTTTTCAGGTGGCCGAATTTCGGCAGGGGGGGTGCCATGGACTTTCCCATTGATGGAATATCCCAAGCCAACGTGGGAGCAGATGGAGCTGAAAACGCTGCGGACAAAGAGGCCTCCAGCGTTGCTGTGTCGAGACCTCAGCAGAGCCCATACGATGGCGATCTGCTTGGGTGGCCAGTAGGGATGAGTGACGGCACTGGAAGTGAACAGAGCGGTCTCCATGATGACCGGTTTGATGAAGACTACTGGGAACCCTTGGGGTGCCCCCGAACCTTGGCTGACCAGTTTGAAAACATGAGTACTGACAGGATGAACCGCCTCTTCTTTCACAACAGCATGATGAGCATTGGCGCGGAACTGCCAAAGCTGCCATGGGAAGAAGGAGTGTTTGCTCAGATCTTTGGGACAGCAGACCCTTTTGGTTTGCCGGCGGAGAGTGACTACACGCCTATGCCTGCTTTCCCGGTCTTTAAGACCCTGACGACTATGGACCAAGCGTCAGAGTCTTCTGCCGCTGCAGCCAGTTATGGCATCCCGAAGTTTGCCAAGCATGTGAAGGCCTTGTGTGACACTGATTACAAGCAAGCCCTGGATTTGAAGTGGGCGCGAGCCCTAGCCAGTTGGCTCACCTACTTGAAACCAGCAGGTTTGAATCCAATGTAGGAAAGTATGCTTTGGCAAGACTTTCAGACCAAGACCGTGAAGGTGTGTTGACTTACATCCGAGATGCATGTGGGGTTAGGTCCCCAAGCACTGTGTTGAAGAGGGCCCGCGACTTGCAGCAGTTTGTCAACTGGTGCACAAGCAAGGACAAGCAGCGGCCGATCTCTGAGAAGGACCTGTTGGATTTCCTCAGGTCATGCGAAGCAGAGGGCAGGAGCAAGTTCATTGGGAAGAACTTAGTACACGCCATTAAGTTCTTCAAGTTTGTCATGGGAGGCAACATCGAACTAGAGGAGACGCTGGGACCAATGCTTCAAGGTAGAGTGATGAGGATCCTTGCAACACGGGAACCTACTCAACAAGCTCGAGCGCTAACTGTGCAGGAAGTGCTACAACTAGAAGCGATGGTGCATACATCACGCTGCCTCTTGGACAAGTACTTCGCTGGTTGCTTGCTCTTTGCCTTGTTCTCTAGAGCAAGGTGGTCCGACCTCTCTTCTATGCAGAGCTTTGGATTCGATGTCATGGAGACGGACAGTGGCCCATTTGGCTTCGTTGAAGGCAGAACAAGGATTCACAAGACCTCGAATACGGCAGAGAAGAAGGCGCTGTATCTCCCCTTTTGTCGCCCCGATAGAAGGTGCGGGCGAAAAACTGTGGGCACTGGCATGGAGATCGGTCCTGGAGGAACTAGGCATGCTCCGTGACCGTGAGCCCTATGGAGCCGTGTGCCGGGCCCCTACATCTGAGGGCGGCTTCACCAAGCGGCCGCTGACGTCTGCTGAGGCTTCATCGATGCTCAACGACTTCCTGGGCGTCGCCGACACCAAAGAGACAACAAGCTCCCACAGCTTGAAAGCTACCACGCTGGTGTGGTGTGCCAAGTCTGGGATCGATGACACCAGCCGTGCAATGCTGGGACATCATGCAATCAAAGACAAGTCCCTTGCCTGCTACTCACGGGACCTCTTGTCACGGCCGCTACGTGACTTGTGTGCGATGCTCCTGAACATCCGTCGGGGTTATTACAACCCAGATGGAACGAGGTCGGGCTACATGAAAGAAGTTCAGGAGGTGCACATGGGCAAGACCGCGACCAGGGCTGGGGAAGCGCCCCACTCACCGGTCAGCGTTGTCCCGAGCCCGAGCCTAGCAGAAGAGTTTCAAGAAGCAGCACCGGCAAAGGAAGCCGATCCCTCTGCGAGCCGTGCCTTCCTTCGAACCCTTTCAACGAGGGGGAGCATGGAGAAGCTTGCTTCGAGGTCTTCGAGGAAGGCCAGGTTGTTTACTCAGAGGAGTTGCTGGAGAGCGCTAGCTCAGGCTCTGAGGAGAGTGAATGCGCCACCGAGACAAACGAAGAGGTTTTCCACAAGAAGTTTGATAGCGCCATCAACAGTGGAGTGCCTCAAGCCGTTGAGGGCCGGCTGATGCAGAACAAGAGAAGCAGGATGCTTCACCTCCGTTCGCCGGATCTTCGAAACAAGCTGCAGCCAGTCACAGAATGCGGATTGCACGGACCATGATTTATTACCCTGGAAGATGGTGCGGCCTTTGAGTGGCCAAAGTGCAGCAGGTGCTTCGAGGTCGACGCAGCCCCTAGTGGATTGTCAGCAACCTCCTGTGGGAGTAAGCGCAAACGATCTGGCTGAAGTCGCCCAGAAGTGTTCTTCCGAGCGAAGAAAAGATAGCAGTGCAACAGTAGGCTGAACAAGAGGTGCGAGGTCACAGTGACCCAACTGTGGAACACGAGGTATCCACAAATAGACATTACGATTTTAACATGAGGTATCGACGCAGCCCCTAGTGGATTGTCAGCAACCTTCTGTGGGAGTGAGCGCAAACGATCTGGCTGAAGTCGCCCAGAAGTGTTCTTCCGAGCGAAGAAAAGATAGCAGCGCAACAGTAGGCTGAACATGAGGTACGAGGTCACAGTGACCCAACTGTGGAACACGAGGTATCCATAAATAGACATTACGATTTTAACATGAGGTATGTATATACATCATAGGTAACATCCCATGTCCCTTGGATGCATGCAGTTGGTTTCTCTTAAGATGACTTGGAAAGCATATGATCAATTCCCGTGCAGTGCTTCATTGCAGTCTGCGCTTCGTGGCATTCTGCATTCAGTTAGTTTCTTGTTCGTGTTGCAGTTAAACGGAAACGAAACGAACATTGACTTGAGTTTGATGTTGTTGAAACTTGCTTTAAACGCAGACACTTGAAACATTTGCACCAGTGATGCTGAGACCAAACGAGTGTGACTGTTCGCGTGCAATGAGCGACAAAACCAAGAGGGAAAGCGACGCCATGATTTCAGTTGTTGTGTGGCATTCCCTTTTTGGCCATGCGATCTCCCTTGGTTTTGCATCTCTCTTTCCAGTGCGTCTGTTCGAGCCGTTTACTTGTGTCATGTTGCCTGGGTCCTCTGCGAGAAGCAAACGAAACGGACCACAAAACTTCTGATGATTCATGATCTCGGACTTAGTAACATGTGCTGTGACAGATTGGAAATGTTTGGGACGCGGACCGCCGCGCATATTAAATCGCTTAGTGCGACATTTTCACCGTCACGCGCTGACGATGGTATACAGATTGTAATTTTCAATTTACTTTGAAGTAGTCTTGAGAAGTGAAACCAAACAGGTTTCAAGTGGAATCAGCACTCTCTGAATAGGGAGATCTACATGAGGTCTCTGCGGCATAATACATGAGGTATATATGCCTGCCACACGAGGTACCATTTGACATGTGGGTTTGATCTGTGGGGCGACCGAGCTGAGGCTCACAGCTCACAGCTCTTGATGAGAAAGATTTCCAAGACAGAACAAGCACCTATTTTCATATGTTAGTTTGTGAATTCCTGAAGCACAAGTTTTCTTTTGAAAGCATGGCTGCCATGAACCTGACCGATAGCTCTGCTGCCTTCGAGAGACAAGCCGTCCAACTCGGACTCCATGAAGAATTCCTGGCTGGACTCAAGGCTGCTGGAGTGAATACCCTGGGTCGTCTAGCCTTTGCCTGTGGACAACCAGGTGCCGCGGCCGCCGAAGCAGCCATTCGACAGTTACTGACTGATTCAGCCCCAACCAGAGTCATGAGTGTTGGAGATGTGGCGATAATGAGGAGGCTTGTGTTTGAGGCCCAGACGTCAGTCATCGCACAGTCAAGAGCGCTGGCCGACCCAACTGCCGATCCGACACAGAACAAGATACCCGCTTGCAGAACAAAGAGACAGGTTGTCTGTGTTGACACTCGAAGGGCCGCTTGAAGTAGCCCATTGTGTCTACGACACGGTGAGTGGAATGATGCAGGCCGACGCCCTCAAATACTTGAACCCAGCCAAGTGCATTGATGGAGAAGGACAAGGGGGAGAAGATGAAGATGATGCTGTGGCTGTGGCGTCCGTGGTGGCGCCGGCGGTGAATGAGAATGACCCCGTGACCGACAACGGCAATGGCAATGCATCGCATCAGCCCAAGGTGAGTCTTCAGCCTGAGACCTTTGAGAACGAGCGCAAGGATGTGCAGAAGGAGGTGAGCGACTCAGCAGCGCATACAATGCAGAATCAGAAGCGGTCTGACCAATCAGCACATGACACCATGTTAGATGAACCTGACATGTCATCAGTTGGTAAGGAAGAGAATCAGGATGAAGAGAATCGTGGCCATGGCCTCAACCCTAGCCGGGGTCAGAGCCAAGATGATGCGACATACGTTGATACACAAGTTGATACAGCATTTGATAATCAAGGAACAGAGATGGCAGAAAAAGAGACGGAGACGGTGGCGAAGATTCAGACCAAGAGTCCAACAGTAGCCACTACAACAACAGTGGCCCCGGCCCCCGCTGGCCCGGCAGGTTCTGTACCCCGAATGCAAGAGATCACCATGACCAAGCCACCAATGGAATTACGTCTAGACTCTACCGGACAAGGAATCATGGTCAAGGACGTTCAGAACGAGCAGCAATGCCACGTCACCACAGAGCTCGATGTCATGGAAGCAATGACCAGGAGGAGCCTTGCATTCGATGTGGTGGGCCTGATTAGCAACTTTGACGTGTTTCAGAAGTGGATCCAACACTTGTTTCAAATCATGAGACAGCCTGCGCCACCTGGCTTCAAGCAACCAACCATCACGCAACTGATGCGTGCAGATCGACAGGCCTTTGTGCGAATGCAAGAGCTGACAAGAGATAAGAGATGGGATCAAGCCAAAGCCAGATGGCACAAGGCCCCTGGACGCGGTGCTCGCGCTCATGCCCAATGACCACACCGTCATGTACTACATGTTGCCAACACAGACGCCGACCCCACAGCCTAAAGCCAAGGCGAAACCAGAAGCCAAGAAGGAATGGGCTGGATGGGACGGAAGCAACAAGACGAGCCACAAACCAAGTAACAAGGTGTGGAAGACGGGCAAAACCCCGAGGCAAAGCCCCTACCCATCAGGAGGCAAATTGCCATTGGCCTTGAAGGGTTGCGCATCCTGCTTGCCTGATGGCTCCCGGCTCTGCTTTGGCTACAACATCAGTGGATGCGACAAGGCCCAGCCGGGCGAGGCCTGCGACAAATGATATCACCTTCGCGCAACCAAAGGTTGTCGGGAGAAGCACTCCCATGCAGCCTGCCCACGCAAGTGACGGCAACAAGGGGGCACTTCCGTGGCCCCCAAGTCGGGCCTGAGGCCCGACCGAATTAGATGCTCCAACCCAGTAGCTGACGAAGTGCAGCGACTGGATATTTCACCCAAACCCCGTGATCAGGAGAAAGGTCGACCTGCAGAAGCAGAAGGACATCAAGTAACAGCACCAAGCGATTGCCCTCGTGAAGAGAGCGCACCCTTTGCTATTGAATTTTGTTCTGGCACCGGAGGTTTGACAGCACAGCTCCGGAAACTCGGGATGACTGCATCGTTTGGAGTTGACAGGATCGTCAAGGGATCCAGCAAAGCCCCAATTGTCAAAATTGACTTGGGGTCCAAAGACGGCGAAGAGCTGGCCGCTTCATGGATCCACAACAAGCAATGCAAGTATTGTCATTTTGGTTTGCCCTGCGGAACAAGCTCACGAGCCCGTGAGATTCCAATGAGCTCCAAACATCATGGACCACAGCCATTGCGCAGCGATTCCTTCCCTGACGGCCTTCCCAAATTAGCTCCTAAAGACCGAGAGCGGTTGGACCTGGCAAACAAGGTGTGTAGGTTGATTCTACTTTGCCATCAACTTGGTGTACACTGGTCCGTTCAGCAACCAGCCAGAAGCATTTTCTGGCTCACCTCATTTTGGAAGGCCATCCTCGCAGTCGTCACACCGTGGATAGTCACCTTCCACAGTTGCATGTTTGGAGGTATGCGACCGAAGAAAACGAGCATAGTGACCTGGAATGCCTGCAGGCGCTCTCTGCTGAGTGTACCAACCAACATGTACACTTGCCATGGGGAGTTACACCCTGGGGTTCGCAACTGCGGACGAGGTGGAGTACCCCTCGAACTATGCAAGCGCTGGGCGCTGCTGGTGTATGACTTCATACAGCCTGAGTACACTCAGCCCAGAACAGCACTCCCTGCGCACCCAGACAAGAAAGCCCGGGCACTGGCACACAACCAGACAAAGAAATCTTTGGCCTTCATCCCGGAATGGAGCCACGTTGTAGTCCAAGTATTATTCCAACCTCCACCTTTTGTGGTTGGTAACAAGCTCAAGAATGACGTCGTCATCGACAACGTTTCCTTTCCTGCCAACGCCCGCATTTTGCGGACTACTCACAAACCGATTGACAAGAAGGGGGAGGAGAGACAATCGTTGGAAATCGCGATAGGTGCCCCCTGGATAGTTGAGAGCTTCATCCAAGAAGCCATGGATAGAGGACACCCAGCAAGCCTCTTTGACGGACTTGCAAGTGGAGTGAGACAAGCTATCCAGCAGAATGTCAAGAAAGACCCGGCAGAAATAGCAAAGCTTAGAGCGTCCTTCCTGAGAAAGTGGACGACCAGAGCCGTGCAGCTAGAGGCCGAGGAGAAAGTTCTTCACGATGGCCTCCCAAAGCATCGGCAAAAGATTCTTCAAGGCAAAGGGCTATTGGTCCTGAAAGAGATGTTGGACGAAATGCATTTCCCTGATCGGAATCTGGTGGATGACATTGTGAACGGGTTTGACTTGGTGGGAACCGCTGGTGCTGAGGGCCTTCTCCCTCCGGACTTCCAACCTGCAGCGCTTTCCATCGCCGACCTTGAAGAAGGCGTCCAAGAGCAACAAGGCAATTGTGAACTCTTGCAAGTCGAGTGGCACGGCGAGTGTGGACGCCGAACTCTGGAAGAAAACCACGGAGGAGGTGGACAAGGGATGGCTCGAGCCGCTACCCGAGGTTCCCAACGATGGAGGGCGCGCCTCTCGAAGATTTGCCGTCCTCCAGTCGGACAAGGTCCGGCCGATCGACGACTACAGCGAGTCTCAGGTCAACGATGGGGTCACCATTACCAACAAATGCACAGTGGACAGTGTCGACACCATAGCAGCCACCGTGTGCGAGTTCATGAAAGCCCTGCGTCAAGCCAAGCGGCAGACGCGCCTGGTTGGCCGCAGCTTCGACCTCAAGAGCGCCTACCGCCAACTTGCAGTGTCAGACTCATCACTGAAGTGGGCCAGACTGGCAGTGCACGATCCGGGCGAAAGGAAGACCAAGTGTTTTCAGCAATACAGCTTGCCCGTTGGAGCAAAGAGCAGTGTGGTAGCTTTTCTTAAGGTGTGCTCGAATGCTCGAATGGATTTGCCTCGAGTTGGCGGTGGTCCTCACATGTTACTTTGATGATTTCGTTTGTTTGTCATCGCCCATCCTCGCCAAAAGCGCTGAGTTGACTTTTGAAGCACTCCTAGACCTTCTGGGATGGCGATTCGACAAGACTGGCGAGAAAGCATCCGAGATGGGCGCAACGGTGTCAGCCCTTGGAGTTATTTTCAACCTTGAGCAAACGTCCGAGGGCCTATTGGAAGTTCAAAACACTGAGAAGAGGAAGAAAGACTTATGCGTCCAGATTGCCCGGACGTTGGATGAGGGCATTATGACAGCAGCTGCAGCGTCTCTGAAGGGCCGACTGGGGTTTGCGGAAGGCCAGCTCTTTGGCCGCTCCACCAGAAGACTCATCAACTGCTACGCGCCCACCAAAGCAGAACAAGCTGATGGAGAACACCAGGAGGGCGTTGGAAGCGGTAGCAACCCAGATGCTGCATTCCCCGCCTCGCCTTGTGGACGCTAACACCGACGAAGTGCTTTACGTTTTCACGGACGCCAGCTTCAACAGTGAATCCAAAGAGGGTGGCATAGGAGGGGTCCTTTTGAACCAGACTGGCACAGTCACATCTTGGTTTGGCTCCAAAGTTTCAGCCTCCTTTTGACGTTCATTCATGGATGAGGACCAGGAGCAGGCGATTGGTGAACTAGAAGCATTCGCTGTCTTAGTTGCGTTCCACCTTTGGCGTCAGAAGTTAGCCAAGAAGCATGTGGTGGTCTTCCTCGACAATGAAGGATGCCGCTTCCTTGTCCTCAAAGGGTATGCCAGCAACCAGAACCTCCAGGACATTGTGTTTGCCATAGCCAAGATTGAACTGGAGTGGTGCATATTTCCCTGGTACGCCTGGGTCCCTACTGAATGTAACTTGGCTGACTTCCCTTCTAGAGAGAAGAGACGTGAGGTTCTGTCGCCGACCTTGAGGGTCGACCTTCCTGAGTTTAAAGAAATTTGGAAGACAGGTTTTTGAGAAAGTCCCTGTGAGAAGGGGGAGCCTTGGAGGGCCTTTCAGAGACTTGACATTCCCCCGTGTCAAAAATGGAGACAGAGTCAGCGAACAGTTGTGCAAGTGAAGCTGTATGTTCGCTTTATTCATGTGAGAATGAATGGTGCGGAAAGAAAATAATGTAGGCAGTTGGCGTAGCCAAACGAACTATTTATTTTCTTGAAGCTTCCTTGTTTTGCATGTCATGGAAAACAAGCTTGCATTCATTCGAACGTCATTTGAGAAACCTGCTCAGTCACCTGCAGTTCCTGTCAAGGGAGTGGAGGGTGGGTCACCGCTTTCAGTTGGCCGAATTTCGCCCGCCAGCGAACAGTTGTGCAAGTGAAGCTGTATGTTCACTTTATTCATGTGAGAATGAATGGTGCGGAAAGAAAATAAAACATTGTTCTTCGATTTTCTTCATGTTCATTTTGTAGAGACAGCTGCTTCGAGATTCTCCGGCCATCTTCTCGCTAGAAGGTTATTTCCTAGAGTTTTGTACCTGTTGTATCCTGTTCTTATTTCCTTGTGCCTGTTTTGCATTTAAAACCTTTTTGCTGGAACGCCTTACTTGCTTGCTTTTGTTGCCCTTCTTGTTCAAAACCGTTGCTGCTGGTGCTGGTGCTTGGAATCGGGAAAACTGGGTGCTTGATGGTCAAAACCTAGGGACCTAGGAAAACCTTGTTAGACCCTAGGGTTACGGCGAGGCAAAAGGTCTAAACGAAGGAAAAGAAAAAAATAACGTGAACTGTAGCCAGATAACCCAAATAGACCCCTGATTTAGGCTCTAAACGAAAGTTACCCAGGTCCCCGCCAAGTAGTTGACGGTATTATGTATGTACGTATGCAGTCAAGCAATTTGAGTGCGTATGCAATGTACAGTAATGTAATGGCATGTCATTGTAGTGGTAATGTGTATGTATACTGTATGCATGCGTGTCTGCATGCATTGTTTATTTCCACACATGGATTGTTTTGCATATATGCATATGCTACCAGAAAGAAGCGATGCGCGAACTCCCCAAAAAGCAAGCATTCGTGCAAAATCTAATTCGTCTGGAATTCATCACCCATCCGCGTGATTAATGCATGATTCTTCCAAGCACAATGCAAGGGCGCTGGAGCAAGCACTTCCCCCCTTATGTGTAGAGGATGCAGCATTGCCCGAAAACAATTAAAATTAAAATGCAAATTTGTTTCAAATATGTGCGTTCCTTTGAAAAGTGCAATTTCTTTGTAAGAAATTGCGTTTTAGTAAGTCTGTTTTCCTTTTCAAAGCATGATATCCCTCTAAAGAAGCAGCATTGTTACGTCGCAAAGTATGAAAATAAGTAAGGCAGTTTCTTCAAAACCAGTTTTCCTTCGAACAACGGTTTCTTTTGAATAGGCAGCATTCCTTTAAGGCGGGTCAATTTTAATCAAAGGATGCGGCTTTCACATCGCTGGAAGCAACTTTTCTGTTGAACGGGCACTTGTTCATTTCAAGTACGCACTATTA